GGAGGAGATTCAGGAGCAGCTGAATGCGGTGGCCCATCGTCTCCATCAGCAGCGACGGCGGGAGCGGGCAGCAAACAACCTTAGATGGAGGAGGAGATTGAGACGGCATGGCGATCCCGCAAGTTGGCTTTGGCGATGCGTCTTTCACGAGAGGCAGGGCGTTGTCGGTTTGGGCCGAAGAAGCGAGATGGACGGGCAGTGCGTGTGGCTCAGCGTACGCGAGAAGAGTGGCTAACGGCATGGCGACAAGCAGGCAAAGACGGTGGCATGTCGGCGACGGAGGTGGACGCCCCAGAGCTGATTGAGTCGACGGAGGCGCTGCCCGACCTGACGGTTGAGATGGGCGAGCGCGCTCGTGCAGATACTAAGCGGGTTTCTTGGGCAGTGCAGCGTGCAGGGCGACGTCGGGCAGTGCCTGATCGTTGCCCCCCAGTGGAGCTGTGGCAGTTCTGCTTTCATCCTGACGAACGATGCGCGCGTGGGCGCTGGGGGGTATGGCCCGATGCAGGCATTCCTGGCATGGCGAGCTTCGCGGGGGCGATGCTGGGGGGGGTTCGTATGATAAGACGCGCCTCGCGGGCCCCTGGTCACTGGCACCATCGCACGACAGCGCGGAAGAGTGGAGCACCATGGGGTCAAAAGCAAGAGGGTGGTGCACGTACTCGACCCCATGGGCAAGCGTTTTTTAACGCGGAGGTCTTGAAGGTGCCAGCGGACGTGAGCGACTACAGCTTCATCAAACACCGTCGGCGAGAAGGGGCGATTATGCCAGCTCAGGTGGTGGCGCGGCGGCTGAGGCACTCTTATCACACGTTCTCGGCCAGCCTGAAGAACATGATCAACGCGTTCGCGTCAGGCTACCATTCTGGGTTAGATGCCACGGTCGACTTGCATGCTGCTAATGGTTTGGATGTGCCGCTTGCGATGCAGGGGCATCATGGGTCACGCGTCTGTTTGCCCGCGGCCGAGGGCCCCCCCATGTGGATTCAGCCAGGAGAAGGAGGCGCCATCGGGGACCCCTTCGTCGTCTCGCTGTTCAGGGGCACCTTCAGCAGGCCAATCTTTCCTTGGACGTATCGGGAGGCCCACCGTACGTCGCGAGCCTTAACAGCAGAATGGAAGGATATGTGTGCAAACTTGAGCATCTTCAAATACGCTGACGACATTTGGAACTGAACGGTGGCTGTTCGTTTCCAGAGGATCTCGGAGCTTCTGAGGTGGATGCGTAATTCAGATGTGATCCTGGATGAGGAGTTGGAGGAGGTGGGGTTGGGGGCCAATCGAAGCAAACAGGTTTCGCTGTTTCACGTCTCGGGAGCAGGAAGTATTAAGGTCAAACGCTGGCTACGCCATCACGCAGTTCCCATTCTTGGAGGTGAGCTACACGAATCGACACGATTCCTGGGGCCTCATATCTATCTTTCGGGGACTACGGGGCCTGAAGTTGCTCGTCGTAAGGAAGCTGCGTCGTCGGGGTTCTACTCCATGGAAGGTTTCTGGTGTCAAGTGTCCTTGGAGATGGACTCGTGCTACTTTTGTCGGGCTCGTCTAGAATGCGTTACTTAGCGGGTTGGAGGTGATGATGGTGACTTCTCAGCAGTCCAAGGATCTGGGCGCTCATTTAGCTCGCTTGTGCCGTGTGCCGCTGCAAGGACGGGGTGCCTCGCACGAGGGCGAGCACGCGACTACCTGGTCGAATGCTCAGGTGCTTCAGTATTGGAAGTTGGCGCCGAATGCAAAAGAGTTGCTCGTGCGGCGCCTGAGCTGCTACAAGCAGATTGCACGTTTTCCCGATAGTCATCAACAGCTCCTGCGTGCGCTGTTCGGCCGTTTGCCGTCCCTGGAGTTTGACCGATACGGGCCGGCGGTAGCTCATCGGTTGACGAAGCGCGCGTCTCCATGGGCTTGTCGTCTTCAGGGGTTTTCCCAGGAGGCTTGGAAGATCTTGGGGGAGGAGGCCCTCGTTATGGAAGAGCTCTCCGAGTTCGCCTGCAGGTTCGTGGACCCCGAGGTGGCGCCCGACTTTATCAATAGAGATTGCTCCGTGATTCGTTCGGTCCAGGTCCGTGCTCAAGTGCCTCCTCCAGGTTATCAGCCCCCTCAAGAGGCCCCTGCTCCGCCAGTCCCCGAGGTCCCACGGGGGTGGAAATGCGAGTGGGTGGAGGAGGGCGGTGGTAGATGCGACGCTGTATTTCGTGCGAAACGTGATCGTCTCAACCATTTTCGCGCCAAACATCATGCCCGAAACGCTGGCCATGTGATGCTTCCTACAACTATGTGTGTGGTTTGCCGTGCGGTCATCAGTTCTAAAGTGATGGCAGGACGTCATCTCGCTCGGTCTCTGGTTTGGGGATTCTGTCTACCTGATGGGGCTCGGAAGTTTCATGGTCTGGCCCCCCCTGATAGTCTCGCTTGCAGGTTATGTGGGGTCGAACACGCTGATTTGGATCATCTCTGTAGCCATTTGGTTCAGCATCTTCCACGCGAGGTGCTACCCCAGCGACCCCGTCCTCAGTCGGCCCGTCAGCGTCAGCAGCAGCATGGCCCTGGAGGGCACCCCGGCTTGGCGGGCGCTCCTGACGGCGGAAACGAGCGGCGCGCCCCCGCGCAGGAAGGGCCGCAACGACGACGACAAGGGCAGCGGCGGCAACCAGGGCTTGAAGGAGACAGCGAAGACGATGGGGCGCCTCGTGTTAGCGGATTCCCGCGAGATCCAAGATTTGGCCGCCGTCGTGTTCAACGCGTTCGAGACGAAGAAAGGCGGCCTGTCCGAGCAGCAAGAGGCGACGGGCAAGGCGCGCGACTCCCAGTCCACCGTCCTCCGCGAGAAGGCCAGGAACGGCGAGCAGGTCGACTGCGAGAGCAGGAGGCCGCCCCGCGTGGCCATATTCGCGGCGTCGGTGAAGTGGTGGGGCACCCCGGGCAACCTCGGCAAGAAGGAGCTGACCGAGGGCTTCGCGAGCCTGTGGCAGGACGTGATCATGTGCTTCAGCCCGCAGCAGGTGGCGGCGCTGGTGCCTTACTTCCGCTGGAAGCCGCGCAAGGGCAAGCCGAACGAGGGCAGGGGCAAGGGCAGCAGAGAGGACCAGCAGCAGGCGGCGAAGGGCACGGACAAGGGGATGATCATGTACGCGGTGGAGCTCTCCCACACGAACGGCCCGAAGTTGTCGACTCTGCTGGCCGAGGCGATGGCGGACATGAAGGCGGTCTACAAACCAGGCTCGGCTCCTCCAGGCCTGCTGCACCGCCAGCTTTCGAAGATGATCAACGACGTGTGAGTTCTTCTACGGTAGCAGGCCCGCTTTCATCGAGTGGTCAGGCTGACAGCCGTGGAGATGTTGAGCAGAGATACCGTGGGCCTGGCCAGAGCACACTTGCAGTGAGAGACTCGGTGAGTGAGTTAGCGATGCCTGCGGTGCAGACTAACTTGTTGACTTCGACGGGATTCGATTGGTCTCAGGGTGAGAGGTTTAAGGCTTTACAGGCTGCTGGCCATCTCCCGCCGAGACCCTCTCCCCGTCCTGCTTCTGCCCCGACGATCACTCTCTCTGGACAGGCGCTTCGTGGGCGCGGTGGGGGGTCCACTGGGAAAGATCGGTTTTGGCCCCTTCGGAGGCCCCCCTGGAGGCCAAATGCCTCAGGAGAGGGGGTTGCCTCTCCACGGGGCGGTGCGTCAGGCAGCGGCGCCCGATCGAGGGGCGGGGGAAGTTGGCAAGGTGGGTTCTGGCCCTGGTGGCTCCACCGTGTTGGCGTCCCTCCCCCTCGATGGGGGTACCAATGCCGCGACGTGTGCACGGTTCCCATTTTTAAAAGGCGGGATTAAGGTTTCGCCCCTCAGAATCCAAGCTTTGCGTTTTTTTTGATGCTTCGAGGCTAAGCTGACGAGGGATTCCATGAGCATGTCTGTCTGTCTGTCTCCTTCTCGTCGTCGTCGTCATCCTCCTCCTTCTCCTCCGGCTCCTCCTTCTGCTCTTTCTTCCTCCTCCTCCAGGGCTCGGGATGGGCTAAGGGGTTTTCGTTCGGTTTTGGCGGCTCTCGGCGGTTTTCGGGCCCCGGGGTGCTTCCCAGCGGGGCGTTCCCGGGCTGCTCCCGGATCTTCCCGAATTGCCGCCGCAGGCCAGAGTTATGACCCGGCGCGTCGGAGAGGTCGGGGCAACGATGGGGGGAATAGGTTAAGGGGGGTGCATCGAATTCCGCGTCGTCCATCGTCCATCAATCGCCAATGAGGAGGTCTTATAGCACCAAGCCGCCCAAGAACGCGCGGTTTTGCCGTCGGGGGGTTATCGCCGATCTATCGGTGACGTATGGCCGATTCTAGGTCGATGTCCCTTAGTAAACTCCTGACGATCACGGTCGTTACTGGGGCGGGGCGGGTGGGTGGCAGGGGACTGGTAACATCGCTTTTCGCGAACCCCATCGGGGAACGTCGAGGGATAACCAAAAACAGCTCGGAGGTCAGCACGAATCGTGACGTTTTGCGCGTGGAGGGGTGGGGGGCCGGGGCAAGTAACAGCAGCTGTCGCGAAAAAATATAAACGCGTTCCGAATCGAATGTGATAGAACCCGTAACCGTAATGACATAATGAAGACGTAGCCTAACTCAGGTCCGCGTCTTTGCTCCAGGGATAAACAATTTGGGTGGCTTGGTTTGGTACATTTGCTGAACAGATCCCCCTTACCCCTTAAGTTTTGGGTTCTTTACCTTACGTCCACGTCCAAAGTGTTCGGGGTCCTTTGGTTGTCCCTCGTTCCTCCTCCTCTCCTGCTCCTCCTCCTCCTCGTTCTCCTCGTTCTCCTCCTCCTCCTCTTCCCCCTCCTCCTCCTCCTCCTCCTCCTCCTCCTCCTCCTCCTCCTCCTCCTCCTCCTCCCCCTCCTCTTCCTCATTCTCCTCATTCTCCTCAATCTCCTCATTCTCCTAATTTTTCTGATTCTCCTCATTCTCCTCCTCCTCCTCCTCCTCCTCCTCGTCCTCTTCCCCCCCCCTTTTCGTTGCCCCTCAGGTCCTGGGTGAGCCGGCCGCAGTGGGGCAGCTTCTTCCCTCGCGCAGGCAGACCACCACGAATCTGCAGTACCCCAACCTTCATATCCGGGCGGTGCAGTGGAGACCCATGCCAAGAAAGACGTTGCTTGCCTCCAGGGTGCCCTGGGTTTCTTGGGTTTCGATGGTTCTGCGATGGAAAGCGACGCGTTCCCACGCCCAAAATCAATGGGCGTCCTGGGGTCTCAGGGTTTGGTGTCTTGTGGAAGGTTTCTTGTGGACTGGCCGCCACTGTAGGGGGTGGCAGTTCCCAAAACCCATGTGGAACAAATTCCCTGGGTTTCGGATGGTTTTTTCCTCCGTAAACTTTCCGGGGACCTTCCCCATGGGGGGTTTTGGGGGGTGGGATTCCCTCCCCCCCTGGGGCGCCCCCCCAACGCCCCCCCAACCTCCCTCCAGAGGGTTTTTACATACCCTCGAAAATCTAGGCGTTGCAGAGAAAAACGCCACGGTCTGCTCACTGTCGTTTTCGGCCTTTGTGTGCTGTTTTCCAGCGCCGGGAAACGTCAACCACGCGCAGAGCGGGGTGGGGGGAGGGGGGATGACTTCTTAGAAACACCCTTGTTCTTTAGAAGGCGTGGGCTGTATTTCTAGATGTAGGGCCAGCGCCTTCTAAGAAGCAGCCTCCTTCTAAGAAGCCCTCCCCCTCCCTCCACTCCCTTGTGCGCGCTGCTAACTCTGGGGGCCGTTTTCCAGCGCTGGGAAACGACAGAGGATGAACCGCTGGCCTTGGGAAGTCGTCGAGATTTAGGGGGGCAAGCGTCACGAAAAAGATGGCACTTCGGAGGAGAGGGTACCCCTGCGGGTCCAGTTGACGCTGGGGTCGCGGACGTCCCCGCTGGAGTTCGCCTGGCTGCAGGCGTCCTTTGAGTTCTGAACCCTGGCCGCCGTATTAGGAGGTCTGACCTGCAGGGGTCATTGGGGCTCTCGTGTGAGCGACGCAGGACAATGGGGTCGTCTTCGCCGACGTTTGCGCGTAAGCTGCCCGCGCAAGGTCGCGCGCGGGCGTCCTCGTCTTCCATGTGGCGTGCCGCGCTGGTGGCCCGCGCAAGCCGCGGCGCGAGGTCGCTGTGCCATCTCGCGTAAGAGGCCCGTCTTTGATCGCCGCTCGTGTGGCTGCCCAGAGGAAGGGGGAGGGAGGAGGGAGGAGGGAGGAGGGAGGAGGGAGGAGGGAGAGAATGGGGAGGAGGGGGAGGAGGGGGAGGAGGGGGAGGGAGGAGGGGGATAATGATGATGATGATGATGATGATGATGATGATGATGATGATGATGATTATGATGATGATGATGATGATGATGATGATGATGATGATGATGATGTTGATGATGATGATGATGATGATGGTGGTGGTGGTGGTGGTGGTGGTGATGCTGATGATGATGATGATGATGGTGGTGGTGGTGGTGGTGATGGTGATGATGATGATGATGATGATGATGATGATGATGATTTAGCTCTGCTTAGAGCTCATAGAATGGGCTCCAGCTGAAGAGATGCGACATATATCAGATTTACATCAACACACATATATATATATTGTATATATATATGTTATATGTGTGACATATCGAATATATATAATATATATTATATTATATATAATATATATGTATATATAAAGTTATATATATATATAACTATATAATATACAACTAAACAACATACATACATCATATTATATATACATAATACATATATATACGCAATTTGCTACTTACACCTTTGCATGCACACGTATGTCCAAAAACCATCGAGCCTATATCACCCTCCCCGACTTACGAACACGACCTATTGGAAACCGCAGTCGGCCAAATGTAGGATCACATTCGATCCTCTATCCACCCGCCCCACCTACATCCTACCATACATTGTGCTAGCATGTTGCGCACTACGGTCGGCCCAGACTGGTAGGTCGACCCTGCCAAACCAAGGGTGCCCTTGTGCCCTGTGTCTCGCGACCCATGCTTCCTACATTCCACATTCCTGTGGGAATGTGGCCCTCGGAAGGGTCTTGTGTCCTCTCGCGTGTCCTGTCCAATCGAGTTCGACTGTACCTAGACTCCCCAGACATCTTCCGTAGCCGTTCTGGCTTCAGATCGGGTTTCGTTTTGGCGTTGGTCTCGCACTTCAGCCAGTGCCCCGACTGCGATGGCGTCGGCTGCCCAGCAGCCTCGGATGCGGTCGCGGAGCCCGAGATTACGATCGCCGAGGACTCCAAATGAAGAGGACGAGATGAGCCCATTCAGCCCGCCGTTCAGTCCCGTCAGCCCGTGGACACCACCAGGCGATGTTGCTGACGATGCTGATGCTGCTCCAGTGGCCACCGCTGCGACGCAGACAGATGCTCCAGTGGCCGATGCTGCGACGCAGACATATGCTCCAGTGGCCGACGGCATCGTGCAGGGCGGCATCGTGCAGGGCGGCATCGTGGATGGCGGCATCGACGGCGGCATCATCGCCGACGACGACTTCCTTGGCCCAGCGCCGAGTTGCCCGCAGGCGAGGTCGAGTGCACCGATGACGCCTGAGTCGTCGCAGCATCCTAGGCCAGGCCCGTCCGTCTACAAGACTGGCCAGCGCCCGCGCCAGTTGGCGAATGTCACGTTCGGCGCCGTGCACACCCGCACAGTCACTAATATGCGGCTCGCAGAGCTCACCCTGTATCAAGCAGGTTCGACGGTGGAGTGCGAAGGAGGTTGCAACAGGCGCCACCCTAGGAGTTTCGGGCAGCAGATGCCGCATGATTTGCGCTCGTTCTTTTCAGCCGGCGTTTTTGCTCGAGATGCATGGGTGTGCAATAATTGTGTTCATGATTATGTAATGTCTCTTTTCGGGGCCTCTCCGATGTCCCCTGAGTTGCGCGATTACCACTTTCGCCAGTTTCACAGGGTCGCATCTTTTGAGCCCGTTCCTGAGGAATTCTAAGTACTAAGTTCTGCACGTGCGCACAGGCGCAGTGCGAAGCCAGTGAGATCACTTGGCATCGCTCGGACGCGTGCATGTTTTTTTCGGCGTGGATTTTTGAGGGGCATCCTGGATCATCCTGCGACAAAAAACAAAACGCACGAAACCGAAACAAGAACACAAGGAATGGAATGCACGTCCGAGCGATGGCCAGATCATGATCTGCTGGGTGCTGTGGCGCAGGGCGCCGCGAGACCAACTGCTCCCTTGCCGCGCCTTCCCTGAGAGTATGACGACTCAGTCTCCCCAACCTTTCGCCCTCCCACCCTCTCGCCCATCGCTCCAGTCTCGAAGCCTTGGTCGAATCGGCATGCCTTTGTTTCGTTAATCCCTGGGGCCTGAGATCCACTCAGCATTCGGCCCCACGGGCGTTTAGAATTCAGGTCTATAAGGGCCTAGGGCCTTTGAAGTTTCTTCCGGATGGCATCGCCGACATCCGACATCGGAATCGTATGCGCGTCTGCGCGATTGCGTTGCATGAGTCGTTTGTTAGTCTCGTGGTATCGCAAGCAGTCGTACCCGTTGTAAAGTTGTAGTGTGCGGGTGCAGGGGCTGCCGAGGTGGCGTCGTGATTTAACAATAAAAAAACAAAAAAGAGCAATCCGTATCGTCGTATCGTCATCTCGCCATTGAGTCATATCGATCCATTTGACTACCTACCAGACCACACCAACCCAACCCGAAGACCCGAATTTCGGGTTGGAGGGGCGCATGGGCTCCATGTGTTTGTTCGATATTCCCGGGCCCCCCCCCCCAGTGGTAATGGAGGGCAAATTGAGGCCTTCGGGTTGGGTAGGGGTGGTTTGGTGGGTGGTGACCATCTGCCCCTCGCGTCACATCGCTCCGAGTCGCATCAGTTCGTCAGGTTGCTATCCTGCTATCCTCTCAGTCGTCAGCCCGTCAGCTCATCACTGTGCCGCCGCCAATCGGTCGCGCGTCGCCTGGTCGTGGAGTCGCGGGCCCCCGTCATGGGCTCATATGCGTCCCGCCGCCTCGCCATCTCGCCATCTCCCGGTAGCTCGGTGGGGTTCTTGGGGTTCTCAGGTGCTCATGTTCTTGACATCTTGTGGATTCTTGGGGCATCATATATCTGATATCTGGCAATCGTTTGGTCACTTGGGTTCAGGCGCCGCCACCTCGAAGGGCGAGCGGCAAGGCCACCTGGCAGGTCAGCGCGGAGCCGGGTGGGCGAGGCAACCCCAGCACGTCGTCTGCGGTTCGATGATGGTTCGTCGCCGTCAGAGCGTTCGGAATGATATCATGGCGTTTACGCTAAGTTTGCACGAGTGCGTGACAGTCTGCTCGTTGTGGTTGCAAACATCGCGATCTGAAGGAATTGGCATTGGGCATTGGGGTGATTTCGGGCAGATGTTGTTGAACACACAACGGTTGCACATGCTGTGGACGATTTGAGCGGAAATCGTGTCCGACAGGTTTGGCGACAAAAACGCCACATGGGGCATTCCTGGACACCGTGAGCCACTCCTGGGCAATGCTCGCCACTCCTCGCCACTTACTCGCTACTGCTTGCGTTCCTTGCGAGGTGCGATTTGGGGCTCGCGTGCCAGTTCCTAGCCCGAGCCCTTGACGTTCCCACTGCGTTGTTCGCAGGCCGCACTTCTGCGTTCGATTTTGGAGCGGCGGGGGAGGGGCCGGCGCGTGTTCCTGGGTAGTTTGGGGGGCGGGGGTCGAATCGCAAAAGCAAATCGCGGCGCAACGCCGCGTGAAAGGGGCTCGGCCGTTCCTCTGCACTTCATGGGCTTACTCGGAAAACAAAGGGCTTCGTTCCTTATGGTTTATGGTTTGTGCCTTAGGTTAGTGCCCTCACTAAAAGATGAGGACCGCGCGGCGAAAGGAGATGAAGAGGAGGAAGGAATGAGGAGGGGCAAAAACGGATGAGCGGATGAGGAAGAGGAGGGGGAAGGAGGAGGAACAGGCAGATAAGCTGATAAGGAGGAAGAGGAGGAAGAGGAGGAGGAAGAGGGAAAACGAGGGCATGGGAGGAGTAGGGGGAGAAGAGGAGAAGACATGCAAATGCCGAGTGGT